TGAAGGATTATAAATAATCTAGAAATGAATTTAACTTCATGAGAGGTTGCACATAGGTAGAATGCAGGCAAATACTAGGGCTTTTTATATTAGGGACTTGACTGCCCCCAGATTTTGGTATCCTGAGCTGCTCTCCCAGAACTATATATTGTGTGAGCCATGCTGTGGGCCTCCTTGTCTGTAGGTGCACTCTGATTTTTTTTTTGTGGAACCGGGGATTTGAACTCAGGCCTGTGCGCTTGCCAGGGAAGTGCTCATTCCACTGAGCCATCTCCCAGCCCCTGTCCCTGTCCGTGGGGATGGGCTACGGAGTAAACTGTCATCAATTCATTAGCTTGATGCTAATAAAAAAAGACACACTTTTTCCTCATATGTTACAGTAACTTTTTTTTTTTTTTGAGACAGGATCATTCATACTATGCAGTTCAGGCTGGCCTTGAACTCACTGTGTAGCCCAAGGTGGCTTCGAACTCATAGCCATTCCCCTGCCTCAGCCTCCCGAGTGCTGGGATTACAGGTGTGCACCACCATGCTGGGGCAGTGACCTATTTTTAAATAACCCAAGTCGTAAAGTGCTGTTACATCTCTCAATTAAGATGCTAGTACATAAGACATCTATCTGTGGAATTAACGACGTGTGTTAGAAAGCATTTGAAGCGCCATTTATTCCGCCTTCCAGAGCTGGGGTAAGTAATCACTGAAAGTTGTGATCTGCTAAAGCCCAGGCAGCTGCAGTTTTGAGCGCTGTGGAACCCACAGGACATATGTGGGACACCAGGTCAGGGGACGCCAAGGTCTTTAAGGCTCCTCCAACTGTCACCAAACAGGCTTCATGTTGAGGCCAAGAACAACAGCCCAGGGAGGGGAAGACAGATTCAGGATGAAGATGTAAGCTTTTCTGATAGACAAAGGCATTTAATTTTTTTCCCCATTCCTAATGAGCAGCAAAGCATGAAAACAGGGCCTTTGTTCATTCTCTATTTAAAAAAAAACAAAAAAACCCAAACCAGTCCTGGAGGACATCAAGCTCAGACTAACAGTTTTCATGAAAACAAGATAAAATGTGGATGAAAGCTGCTCTCGGCCACAGACCTGAGGCACACGCACCCCAATGGTTCCGACTCCCCAAAGCTCAAGCTTGCCCGTGATAAGCTCCGTATTTACACTGCGGATCAGCGTTCTCCTGTTCCAGATTCCACTGTGGACCGTGCAGCTGCCTCGCTCGGATCTTCAGAACGAGCGTGCTGCTTCCTGGAGCCTTCCTCCGTCACCTTCCTCTGTCGCCTTCCTCTGTGACTTCGCCGAGTCTCCAGCAGCCAGGGCCTAAAACTGCTCCTGTACAGGCCCAACGATGGATCCCAGGCCAAGTGCCGGCCGTCCCCTGGGTCCCCATGCTTCTTCCTAGCCTCATTCTGTCGGCTGAGGGACAAAGCTTCACCATGGAGGCAACCCGGCCGCCCAGCTCTGGAATTGCCAGCGTGTGTCTCCTTAAACCTCTCCTTGCTCTGCACTGCGTGGCCAACAGGACAAAAGGCTTTTGTAGCCTGGTATCCAAAAACACTCTGCAGCCCAGATTTATTTCACTGGAAGTCCAGACAGTGCTGGCTTCTTACGGCGAAAGTAGAGCTGCTGCTTATTTCCCGTTGAAGACAATTTTCTCACCAGTGTGGCTTTAACGCTGGGTCAGTGGACATTTGAACAGTAGAATGATTCATTTAAAGGTGTTCTATTATTGTAGTTTAAAAACCCACAAACACCATCTCACCAAGTCTTTACAATTTGACATGCCAGGTCACCACAGATTCAAGGCCAGGCTGGATTAGTGAGCCTCAGTACAAAAAAATAATAAAACTTCAGCTAGCAGGGTTGGGTAGCGTTTGCAAAAGGCGTTCTGCTAAAACAATGAGCACAGGTAACTGACATTTAGCGAGCTGTCCAAGTATGAGCAGCTTGGGCGACAAGTTCTCTAGCTTTGTACTGGTCTGTGTAGGGATCAGAAGACAGATCTCAATCTCTTTTTAGTTAGATCTCAAATCTCTGCTTTTGTCAACATCATCATCCACATAATTCTTCCCATATACCTCACCTGAGCTCCTTTAGAGCCATCCTTTAGTATCCTTGTTCTTACTCTTGGGGTTTTTTATTTGTTTGTTTGTTTGTTTGTGGAACCAGGGATTGAACTCAGGCCCTTGCGCTTGCCAGGGAAGCGCTTATTCCACTGAGCCATCTCCCAGGCCCTCAAATCTCTGCTTTGTCCAAGTCAGTTCTGAGTTATTTGTCTGCCATGCAAAAGCAGAAAAGTGATCCTCTGGTCTCTCCGTGTACATTTCAGATAAATCCTCTCAGATTACGAGTGAATTTCATGTGGTTGGCATGCTTAAAAAAAATTGCTATGAAACAAGAAACACACCATCATCTCCACCTTGGGAAGGGGGACGTGGAGTGTCGGCGAGTGTTAAAAATAAAGCTGTCGGGGCTGCCAAGCCAGAGTTCAGTTCCCACTGCTACGGTAAACAGGCCAGGCGGCGCGCCTGCCCTCGGGAGGCTGAGGCAGGAGGACTGCCTCGAGTTCAAGGCCATGAAACTACACAGGGAGACCCAGTCTCAAAAAACCAAAAACCAAAGCTGTTCCAAGGGCTGGCCAGGTGACATGTCTTGGTGGCACTCCGAGAGCAACTGCTTTCCTCGATTCCCTTGTGATCGACCGAGTCTGGTCTTTTCTCGTTAGCATTTACAATTCTAGCCAGAACTTTCTTAACAGCAAAGAGCACGCGACAGGCATTTTTAATTTTAAAGAATTTTAATACAAACTTAATATAAACTATTTCAGTCCCTCCTAACATTTAAGACACTGACTCAAAATACTTTTATACCGTTTTTTTCAAGTATTGCACAATATAGGTACAAAATTAATATTTACGATTACATTTTCTTCCATAATATATAGCAAAAATCTTTAAACCTTTAACAGAAAATACATTTTTTTTTTGAAAAAGCAAATATTCGTACATTTTTAATTCCACCACTAAAGGAATATCCTGTACACAATTTTGAGAATAGTTGATGTCTTTAAGATGGATATTTTACAATTTCAGTAAAAAAAATACAACATGAAGCTTCTGCTCTCACAGGTCACTGTAGTAAAAAGATATAAATGCAATACCATGTCGTAGAAACAATATATATATCCTGATATTTTACAAACTTTGTACTAAATTAAATTATACAATTAGAAAAGACCAATAAACCCACTTATTAGTGCCAATTTTTTATAAAAAAAAAAATCAGCCATGTCCTTGCTCTACCTTAAATACTGTAAGAGGCCATATCTGAGCGGATACTTTAAAATATACAGTCAGTATAAAATAACTTTGTGCTTGGTTGGCAAATGAAAAATGATGCGTGTTTTATTTTTGTAACCAAGCCTGAATGTATCCTTACTATAAGCTTAGAAGAAAAAAGAAATCTCAAGGAGGTTCCACAAAAAAAAAGAAAAAGAAAAAGAAAAATCCCCCTTGGGCCCGTGCATTTGAACTCGTAGGATGCATTTCTCTTTTTAGTTAGCCATGACAGGCTGGAACTGCTGGTTAGAATACTGCATGTTATTTAAGCTAAAATTCAAGCCATCTACAAAAGACTTCTCATTGAGGCCCCCGTAGGCTGCAAACACATCAAAGGCATTGCTGTACTGGAGGGGACCCAGGTTACAGGGGCCGTCCCCTGGGAACACCCCACTGCTGCTCCCCTGCCCTTGCATATTGGGAAAGATGAATTCCTTGGCGTTGGGAGAAAGTGCAGAGGTTTTCTGCTGTGGGGGTGGCGGCGGGGGAGGAGGCTGGGCGGGGGGCTGGGTGGGGGGCTGGGGCTGGGGCTGCTGCTGCTGCTGCAGGGGGGGCTGCTGCGGGCTCCCCAGGCCCAGCCCGTAGAGAGAGTGCATGGAGGAGGAGATGGCTTTCTGCTTCAGAAGGTCGCTCACGTTCAGGCCCAGGTTGATGGGGGACGTGCGTGCCACCTTGTTGCTCCGGCCGCTGTTCTTCATTTTGGTGGAGCCGAACTTGGTGGCTGCGAAAGTGGCAGTGGTGAAGGTCAAAGGCTGGGTGGAGCGGGGCATGAAGGTAGGGCTCACAGCAGCAGAATGACCAAAGGGAGGCGATGGAGAACTAGACACGGACGAGGCTGGGTCGCTGATGGGCATGAAGACCTGCGCCTCAGGGTTAAAGCTGTTTTTGATCTCCTTATCCAACTCACATCCGTTTTCATTACTGTCATCCACGTAAAGCACTTTCACGGGCCCCTTCTCGCCGATCTGGTAGGAGACCTCGAAGGGGTCGATCCACACACTCAGGTCCTGGGGCAGGTTGCCACGCACATCGTCGATGTCCAAGCCGCTCTCCTTGGACGCCTGCTCAATGACCGGGTCCACCTTCTCCCCAACGTGGATGCATCGAAACCCTGATCCTTTGTATGGCTTTTCGGGATACCAGTGCCCTTCATATTTCTTCTTAAGAAGTCTTTCAAGTTCTTCACCGAAAATGTTGACGCGTCTCCTGGGAAGCTTATTGTACAAATAGGAAATAATAAAATTGAGTGCTACTTGGATTTCAAGCTGCATAGCTGCTAGGCCACAAGGTGAGGTTTGTTTCAACTCCTCCACAAGGAAACAAACAAACAGTGTTCAGTGTGTGGCAGAGAAAGAGATTTTCATTCAAAGTGCTGGTAGGAGTGGAGTATCCTTCACCTCCAGGGGTCTTGTTCCTTTAGGAAAACAAAACAAAAAGTCCAAATAAGATTAATGTAAACCCACAAGACACCTTTTTTTTTTTTTAACCCTTAACTACACTTTTGAAACAGTCTAGGAGCCTAGGGAGCTTGGAAAATAAAATCAGTACAAAATAAAGACATGCAATTAAAAATTATTTATTAATGTTCAAAAAAAATCTCATGGGGAAAATATAGATTACAGGTAAAACTATTGCCTAACCCTATTATTTATTGCTTCTGTGCAGAAGTCAAGACCACCAGAATATGGGTGATTTTTCTTCCCTCAATCCTCACAAAAATATTTATTGGAAACTGTACAGGCCAAGCCCACGCAAATATATGCCACTTTTAGAAGCTCAGCATTATTTTTATTGCTAGTCACGACTGTAGACGCAAATCCTAAAGTTTAGCTCATTTTGGATTTATCTCGTTTAAATTGCATGTACATGAAACATTCAGAAATTTGAGAAGTTCGGAAAATTAATTTCCAAATCCACAGCTACAATTACAGGCACTAAATTCTAAACAACCTGTCACAGCAGAGAATGAAATTAGGAACCCAATTATCCTAGTCTGCCCTACCGCAAGCACTGAGGGCACACAGTGGGATCCCAGGCTTCTCTTCTGCTCACCGTGGTCACCGTGTATTTTTCCAAATCTTAAATACCTCTTGTCACAAAAGCAACACTTATTGATTACTCTGTTTAAAGGGCAGAAGTGCCCAGTGTTTGTCGGATTTTAAAAGCCGCCTCCCTCCCTCTCCGATAAGAGCAGAGCAGAGATGCAGAGGTACACTGGGTAAGGTCGACCTTTAAACGTTTGCTGGATCAGCACTGGGCGGGGATAAGAAAAGACCAAGGGCGAGCAGAAGATATTTGCAAAAGAGATCCGTACACCGGGTTGATTGAAAAGGGCATTTAAAAAAAAGAAGAAGAAAAGAAAAAACCCAAGTTGGTACGAATCCATCTGTTCCATTTTCCATATTGGTGGTGACAAAGGGAAAAGAAGCCCTCGCTGCCCCCAAAACTACAAACACTTTTCAAAGCCGAAAGCCCAAGGGTCGGCGGCCGAGGCGGCCGGCGGAGCGCGATTGCGGAAGGTGCAACCGAGCGAGGTGCGGGCTCGGGGAAGAAGGTGGTTTGCAAGCAACGCCGTAGGAAGGGGAGTGAGGAATTACATAAACAGCCAGTTGGATCTCATTAGATTTCTGCTCACAGCGCCGGGAGCCCAAGCGCTACGGCGGCGGCGGCGGCGGCGAGAGGAGGAGGAGGAGGTGGTGGAGGAGGAGTTGCGGGCCCGCTCCCCGCGGAGCCGGCTCGGAACGAGGGGTCGGGCGCCGTGCGGGTCGGCGCAGGCCGCAGCCGGGTCACCCCCGCCTCACCCGACCCCGTGACCCGGCCGCCGCTCCCCGCCCCCTCCTGGGGCCCGGCCAGCGCCCGCAGCACCGGAGCCCCGCCACCATTTTCGGCCCCCGCGGCCCCTCGGCCCCCAGCGCCCCCCTAAGCGCGCCGTCCGGAGGGAGCCTCGACCCCTTGCTCCCGGCACTCGCCCCAGGTCGGGACGATCGATCCGGTCCTCGGTCCCGGGGCTGCGAGCCCGCCGCTCCGGGGTGCCCGAAGCCCCGAGCCCCAGGATCCCGCCGCCCCTCCCGCCGCCTCCTCGTCCTCGGCGCCCGCGCCCCCGCTCGTTCCGTGCCCGCCGCCCCGCGGTACTTACGGGCTTCGGGGCTGCGGGCGGCGG